TAATAGATGTGGCATTTCTTAAATACAGCTGATGCTAATATTTTACAATTATACTTTTTATGGACATAAATATATTCCACATAGCTGTGATGATGTTAGAAATTCCCAACAATTCATTAAAATATTGTATGTTGTACATTTTGACAACTATCTTAATAATGTTTCATCCCAAACACAATTTGAACGGTACAACTGAAATAATTGTTACTTTTTACTTTTGGTATTTCATGTCAGCTCATGAAATAAATCTAATTGTCAGTTAACTCAGAGGCATAAAATTTGATAAGTCAGTCCCACTCTAGGCAGTAAATTCCCAGGTACGGCTTACGCTCAGAGAGCTTGGTCCGTTTCTGACTGACGTTGTCTTCATACACTGTGTAGTCACGGTCACATTCCTCAGTGTCTGAGGGTCGTTTCTGACCCTTCAACAGATACAATGGAGTGCTTCCTACCTGCTGCTCTCAGTTCAAGTGAAGACCTATAAAATGGCAGGGGAGCCTTCCTGCAGCAGCTCCTTCCGGCTGAGGTGTGAATTCTTACAGCAGCCAGCTTCCTCGCCTTCTTTCTTGCTCCACTTCGGTATTTTCCTTTGTCATGTTCCTTCTCTGTTATCAGCAAAATTGTCTCTTAAATGCCTCTTCTTTAACTTAGTTGAGCCTTGAGCCCACTCCAGCTTCATTTATCCCCCATCTAATTGCCTGTTATAATGGTAGTAGTTAAAGAAGAAAGTTTAAAACACAGAAAGTTTATTCCAGTTCAGGGCGACTTTAATGGAATTTCCTCTTACTTTGGTGGGTAAAGATCTCACAGGAACATAGGATCATGAGGTAGAATCTACTTACCTTTGTTATTGTACAATACCCATGCATTCATTAGGCAGCACCCATAATCAACACGAAAGAATAAAAACAAGCTTTTACTATTAAAGCATTACTATTGATTTTTATAAACACCAAAATAATATCTCTTCTAGGCCCATTACACAGGTAATAATAACCATTCATTTAATTAATACTGACTCACAGTGAAAAATTCAATCTGAGTACTTATAACACCCACATTAATATCAAGAAGGTTCATTACAATTAATACCACAATAAATATAAAATGAATTAGTAATGATTACAGCATTATTTTAAAGCATTCCTATTTGTATTCCTGTACTTACTTTAATCACCATCACTCTAAATAGCAATTAACTAAAGCTAGGCTGGGCATATTTATGTAAGAATAACAAGGCATAGAAATGCAACCCAGTACAAGTTTACACTCAAGCATGAGGCTACCCACTAGCATAGGAGGTTACAAGAGTGACATTCTTTATAGCGTTGGTGAAGAAAATAAGACCAATCTACAATGTTCTTACCTCCTTAATTTTACATTGTTTATTCTTTTCTCAATAAGCCACAGCCTAATTCAAAATGCTAACAGAGAGCTTGGCACATGTACAAACACCATAAATATTTGTAAATAAATTCCCTGTCTCCATGAGATATACTCATCTGGAAGGGCTACTGGTTACCCTTGAGTGCTTGAGTGTTACGTTTTAATTTTGATTAGGAAGAATCTGTGGTTGTTTACCTATGTCTACAACCAATACTGGACAGAATTTATTTAGTAGCAAGGAAGAAAGGGGAAGAAAACAAACTCTTCTGGTTTCTACCAGCTATCTATGTTGACATAGAAGGGCTATAATAAATTACTTTTTTTTTCCCCCAAATGGGCCACTAGGGAAGAAAATGAACTAAAGAAACAATTAACACCTTTTTTATATTTTTTCTATTCATATTTTTATGACTGAATCATGATGATATTTTAAGATATTAGGGCACCATTTGCCTCAATAGCAGCAACTCTAATGAATGGAGATAGAGAAGGAAAGAAACTGCACCAACAGAACTCTCTTTTCCTTTAATATCCTTGCTAATGCTTAATTATGAGCATTTCCACATTGGCTCTTACAGAATCTTAAATCCTGATCATATCTGACTTGGTGCAAACTGAATAGAATGAAAAGTAGTTACATTGCTATTAAGTTAAACATTATCTTGATTTGTTCTTAAGGACTGAATAGTCAGAAACTTGCCATTTCATAAGTTATTGACATTATGATAAAGGGGATTTTCCTTCAAAAGAATGTCACAAAGACCTTAGTATACTGGTGAGGGAATTCTGGGTGTGTTTTGGATGGATGGCAAAGAATGTTTCTATTGAAAATCTGCTTTTATTTGGAATTTACATGCTTCTTGTCCAATAGTGTCAAGTATCAAAGTTCTCTATATTTGTTATTTGTGCTTTAATTTCCTGTTTTCTGTGCCTGTGTGACTATTTGTCCAACAGAAAGGCTAGGCATCTGCTGATTGGGAAGAGGGTGACTCTAAGTATTTCAAGATACTACAAGCCTTGAAAAACAGAGAAGCAACGAGTAAGCTAGTATTAATTTGAAAGGTAAACATTAAATCCAGGTAGAGGAACAAAACACAATTTATTATCCCATTGATCAATAAGAGACTAATGCCTTCCCCTTTCCTAAAGACATTTATCCAATAAGCTTTGTACACACCATAGCCACAATCTGTAACCCACTTACAGAAGTGTCACTGATAGAGCGTTAATTACCATCTGTGTGAACCCTGAAAAAGGTGGGTGAAGTATGTTAAACAATTCACAACCTACCATAAAACTACATCAGGGTCTTTCAGTTTCAGCTTGCAGTCATTCTCTGCTTCTGAAAGAGAGAAGAGAATATTGTGAACAGTAAAGTAGATCCATAGAGTTCCTTCCTTTTCATTCTCAGTTCATACTTCCAGGTAACACCATAATGTGACCTAAGAGGGACCCACCATTTTATGAGCATCTGCTTTGTGCCAGGAACTTTAAGTAAATTTATTCTTTAACCTTTATAATGACTTAATAATATACTAGTATCTATCGGTGAGATTCTCCATAAACAACTCAACAAACACATGACACTGTGATGTTCCAAAGAGAAAACAACTTTTGAAAAAGATGTATTTATTTCTGCATACAGAACTGGGGTACATGCCAGAAGTGCAGGGCCAGTGAGATGATTTACCAGAGACAGAGTGGGGAGCAGAACAGGCTGACTGATAAAGTACACTGCTGAGTGGAGCAGTGGGTGGCTCAGGAGAGGTCTGCCATGCCATGTGGGTCACCTCCGGAGTGGAGATCGAACTAATGTTGAAGTCGCTTTAGCTTCTTAGTGCTGTGCTTTCACCCCCTGCGCTACCAGGGAGGGCCTGAGAAAACAACTTTTAAATGGGTATCTTTACCACACAAAAAAAGATGTTTTTATTTCATTACAAATTCTCACAACTAAAGGAAGCTCATACACCAAAGAAAAGACTAAGTATTAAGTAGTATAGTGATAAATAACTCACAAGCATCGCGAACTCACAGCCACAGCTAATCTGCTAATGTCACCAAGATGCTTCTGTAGGCATGAGTGGGAGGCTATTTGTAACTCTTTTTTATCCTATTCTTGTACACAAAGTGGATGGACTCTTCTCCCCTTCCTTGTCAAAAACATTTTATTAAAAACAGGTCTTAATACTGAATGCTGTGCTGAGTACTGTTGAGGTATGATGGCTTTAGAACTAATATGTAAGAACGCAAGCCTTTCTCTCTCATTTTGGATCAAGCCATGTGTGATAGCTTTTGAGAGCACTCTTGGAGATCATGAAATTATCTGGGCACTCTGCCACCATCTACTTTGGTCTGTAGCTTGGTGGGAAGGAGGGTGAAAACAAGGAAAGTAGACAGAGGAGAATCTAAATAGACGATGCGCCAATAAAAATAGATGTGGGAGAAAGAGATTGTAAGAAATCAGGGGAAGTGGAAGGTTAATAATACTAATCACCTTCACATCTAATGTTTATCACAGTTTACTATGTACCAGGCACAGTGCTGAGTGCATTCTCGCATTATCTAATTAAAGCTTTTCACTCAGGAACTATTATTATCTTCACATTACCAGTAAGAAAGCTGAGGGTCAAAGAAGGTTGCTCTTTAGCTCAAACTAGCTAATAGGTTGCAATGCCTGGATTGAGACTCAAGATGTCTAACTCCAGTGTTTGTACATTTAATCTTTAAGAGTCAGGACACAGATGGAGAAAAACATATAGAGAATAAATAAGAAACTGTTCTCCTGTTATTGGTAGGATATGGATTCAGAAGCCACTGTTCTGGATGAGCTTGGCTACCCTCAGGATGGTGGTTATCCAGCCAAATGGTACCTCCCTGTTATCTGCATACACACTGGCTGACCATCCCTCTCACTTTCCCTTTCTCTCTTGAGTTGGCAATTCATAAAAATGAGAAAATGATAGACTATGCCTTAAACGATTTTTGAGTGAAAACTTTTTTAGCATTTTTTTAATGAAAGTATAATATGCAGACAGAAACACAAAACATAGGCAGCTAATAAATGAATTTACTGGACACACATTTGTATATCGACAAAGCCAAATATTTCCAGCCACCCCAGAGTTTTCCTCATATCATTTTCAGATACAAATAAACTTAATAAACTTAAAATTAACCTAATAAATATTCATCTGACTTCTGGAACAATAGACTAGTTTTATGAAATTTTGAAATGCAAAATAATACAACCACATTATGTGTACACACATCCCTATCTGTGTGTATATGCACATATGTACAACACATATGCTATTGTACACACCACAGAACAATACTGTTGGTAATTTCTGTTATATTAGTGAGATTGCTATAAGAGGGTTACAGATTGTTACTTTAGTAGGTACAATTTCCAGAATAAATTATATAAATAGATAATACAACATAGATTATGTAATAATATATACATACTAGTAAGCAATAGCTTACTTACTCTATTTAATATGTTGGATTCACTGTGTATATAATGCCATAATTGATTTATCCAATATACAGTTGATGAATATTTGGCATGGTCACAATATTTGATGTAGGTGAGAGTAAGGTCTTAGAACTGAACTATTTGAGGTGGACAGTTGTAAGAAACAAAGAAAGAATCCTAAATTGATAGAATGAGGAGTGAAAAGTTAATAAAAACCTTACTTTTCTAGACCTTGGCATTGGGTAATGACAACAACAAACATAGTATGAAAATCTTTAAACTAAGGTAAGAATAGTTGCTGGCACAAAATTAGAACTACAAATACTTGTTAATGAACTGATGGGCTATGTAATATATGTAGTCTCTCTCTCTCTCTGTCTCTCTTCTGAACTCCAACTGACCTATACTAACAATGACTTCACATAGTTTGAATATTATCAATCTGAATAGAAAATAATTTAGGGATTGTAATCATTAACCTATTAAAAGCAGATTGTATGTCTATTGAAGATTTTGTTTTGTAAGTAAATCTTGGTTGACTACTACTTAATACTAATTTCACATTATTTTTCTTTAATCTTTTTCAGGCAGAAAAAAATTCTTAGACTAAGAGATTCTTGAGATGTTATGAAAGGATGACAGCAGTATTCTAAACAGTAATGTAAAAGTATCTTTTCTGGAGTATGAGACTGTTTTTTAACCACAGACCTCAACCAGGCTTTATTTTGAAGATGCTTAGAATGGTCTGGAAGTCTGAGGCCAAATCCCCTAATATTCTTTAGCATCTTAGAGATAATGCTTAAAATCCTGAAGTTTTTATAACTGAAGTTAGAATTTTATATATATATATATATATATATATATATATATATATATTTATGTAATTAATATTTCCCTGAGAGTAGGCTTTTGGTAAGGATAAAGGATCTTGAGAGAACTTGGGGCTTGAAATGAAGGAATTGAGGGACTGAGGGTATAAGGCCTCCTTGGGATTGATGTGATAACTGACGGTTATTTTACAAATTGGTCTGAGCCTGGGCTTGATTCCCTAAAAATACTTTTCCCAATGGCAACTCTGTCTGTGTAGGATATACCCAATCAATGATTTCAGTTGTCATCGTGATCAACATGGATCACTGAACAATTGACTAGACTGTGATGATCAGTATTGATTGTGAATGTGTCTGAAATTAAAATATTGGAGATACTATGGACTATTCATTTCTTGAATGTGGAATAGAGTCACTGAACCATGAGTCTTTAATTCACATGCTGGTCGTCTCATCTTATACAGACTAAACTATTCATTTCCCTCTATTTTTCATCAAACAGGAAGAGAAACTTATTATATAACAGATGTAGCTAAGCATCTAAGATTTCTTGAATTCAGCATTTTTTAAGAGAAAACAAATCATATAATTATTCTACTAAAAGTTCATATGTAGGATTTTATCTATAGCTTCACTCTTAACAATGAAAATATTTTAATATTTAAACACAATATATAAGGTAATGATCATGGGGGAAATGGTGGGTGTAATGAGACCAGGCTGATACACTTATATAGAGTGATGTAACAGTTATATAGACAAGATATTGCTAAAGGGATAATGTGAAAGACTTTGAGGTAATGGGTATGTATTCATCTAAACGTCCATCTGGACATACAGGCAAGCTCTGGAGAATACTGAGACCGTTACACAAAGCTACAGAATCTGGAGAGGAAACTTGAGCAAGGGACAAGAAAGGGACATGGAGTTGTAGTTAGATCAACCAACAGAAATTTTGGTACAGTGGTAGACTTTGGAGTTTGGGCCTTGATGGAGGCTAGGTGAGGGTCCCCAGGCTCTATAAAATTTATTTTGGGGCTCAAAACCACAATAAGATCTGACTTTGCAGTAGTTTGCCAGTGCCTCTACACACATCTTGTAGGATTGTGGAAGAGTTTCCAGGAATCTCACATGGAGCTTATAACTGCACATTCATGTAAAAGGGGCAAGTGTTTTATATGTGTTGTGTAATTCTTTTTTCCTGCCACCTGACAAGGTATAGTGGAACATAACATTAAAAATCAGGAACTATTCAAATCAGATTATGAACAATTTACAACAAAGTGCTGTTGAATAGACTCAGATTCCATGTCAAAGCTAAGATATCATTTAAATACATATGACCCCAAAACTTTTTTTGAGAGGAGAAAGACAAAGATGGCAATGTGGGTGCCCACAAGGATCAAGAGCAAAGGAGGTTTAAATCTGAGTAACCGAGAAGGATGGGATAAGCTAGAAATAGTCTAAGGAGAATCTTCTTCCAACAAATTTGAGGCCTCCTTAGGAGACTTCTTTGGAGAGTCCTCCTAAGTTCAAGATTAAATAGATGAGACTGTGATGACTCTTTTGCTATCAGTGTTCTAGATTTGAACCAAGCTATAGTTCCTGTACAAGTCTAGGAATTAGTCTCTTGGTGACTAACAGCTGCTGGGATATATTGTACAACTCACAAATAGCACTCTAGGCAGAATAGCTCAGTGCTAGGGGCCTAGTGGTACGCATGTGATTATTTCATTTGTGGTAAGAGGTGCATGCATTAGGGATAGAACTCAATAGATACTCTCTCTTTTTCTGTAAACATAGGCCAAGGGGAATGGTGGGGTTAAGAGTTTTCTGTTGAATTTTTTCCCAAGAACATTTTCTATTTATGACAAACACAAACGTTATTATAAAGAAACACCATTACATCTAAAGGCATCTGAATCATCTCTCAATCTATCAGAAGACAGGGAACAAAGACTATCAGAGAAGAAAGTAACAGTGACAATAGAACATAGAAAGTCCTTCATTTGTTAATTCACTCAACTACTAAAT